CGCGCCGCGGAGGCGTCCCGCTTTTCCCCTCTGATACATACTTCTGCGGCAACCAGCTGGTTCGTTATTCTCCCTGCCCTCCTGTAAAACCGCACCAGCCCTCCCTCCACAGGGCTTTGTCCTCTCAGGCACTCAGCCCCTTTTTATTTTTGTCCGTCTCCCCCAGGCTGCACTTACGCGGCTGGGGAGCGCTGCCGTCGTCGTCCCAACTGAGGAGCGCTGTTCCAGCCTCTCCTTGTCTCTGTAGCGGCCGGCAGCAAGACCACCGCACCATCGGCCCCGAGCGCGCACACAGGTCCCACATCCATATTAATAACCGCCCCACGCAAGCGTCTTGCTGCATACCGCATACCACCAAGTGAGAAGACGGCACACGCGAGAAGGAATCAAGCTAAGGGGCTGGTGAGGGAAGAAGCCAGGACTGTAATTTAGAAGAGGCTAAATCGAGACAGGGCGCTGGTGCGCGTGGCTGCGCCCCGCACACGGACAGTAGTCAAACACAACCACGACGCTTCCCCAGTACGGACATCTCGAATTCGGCTTTAACCTTTTGTAGACGTTGGCTATGACCATCTCTGCGGAGATGTGATTTCTACAGTATACGTACCTCAGACCGGCAGGGGGGGGCTGCTAGTCACCAAGCAGTGCGAGCAACAGAAATCCTCCCCTCTAATAACTACCAGCCAGGAATAGCGTGGTCAGACTATTAAGGTATGGAGGCCTCGATTTTCAAAATATCGGATCAGCAGAGTTATTGCTCTCCCAGAAGAGAAACAGGTTACACGTGAGCGTACCACCTGCAAAACTGGAGTTTCTGAATACGCGTTGTGGCTTTTATGGCAAACGATGAAAATCTTTTCCTTAGCAAAAGCAGAATGAAAAAAAATATATCCTCTATGCATACATTTCTTACGCATTATTAGGCAATGAAAACTGATTTTTGATTTAATCATAATTTTCCCTTACCAAGTCTCAATTCATCTAGCTTCCCCTCCATATGCAGCATGAAGATTATATAGCTAAGCATCTTGTAACATTACAAAGTTCAAAAAGCCTTTGACCATGCAGTTAGTAGTGATACTGAAAGCCCCTTCTCTCCTCTTACCGCAAAAGTATCAGCTTAAAAAAAAAAAAGCCACATGCATTTTAGCATTTTTGTGTAACAAGTCTCTTAGAGCAAGAGTAGTAGTCTACTATAAATATCCAAACTACCTTCATAACAAGATGAAATGCACAGTTTAAAATGGAGCAAGTCCAAATTATGTGCTCTAATTGGAAGCTACTGAAAAGGATAATTAAGTGATCTATTACTCATCCAAATAGAGGATATAGTCAAAACCGACTGGGCATAGTAGAACAAACTGCCAGCAGCACAAACAAGCCCTTTTTAATGCTGCTTTGATATATCAAATCCTCTTTTAAAGGACAAATCAACCTGTCTGAAGTTATTCCTATTGATTACAAGAATTCCAGCATTAATTACTCTATTGATTTGTCTTGGAGATGTCTAACAGCAATTTTTCTGTCCTTGCAAACATAAAAAGTTCATATCCATCAATATTCCTGCTTTATAATTCTTACAGCTGTGCATACAAGAATAATTTCAAAAGAAAAGCGATCAAAAAAACGCCTTCCATTGAACTTGGGCCATTCCGTCGTTAAATAATGAGACGACTTGTTCTGATTCGCTCTTCTTTTGGCACTGCACTTTTTGGTGAAAAGCATTCTGGCACTTTACTGGCCTAGGATTTTCCCTACTAGCATGCAGATGCTATAGAGATCTGTGCTGATCCAGGAGGAATACTACAGAAACATAACTTGATGGTATCTCACAATATTAAAGACACTTAGAAAAAGCTGGTATCAAGTGATGCAGTCACTTGTTTCTCAAGAGAAAAAGTCTCACCATTCTTTCACATAAATAGAGGGAGGAACTGACATGTATTATTCTTTCGTATTTCAGTTATCAGCCTTGAAGACAGACGTTGTAACCAAAGAATTAGGTGATTTATAAGCAGGGGGGCTTCATGTTCTTGGTGTCGACTTCAGGTATGCTGTTCTTCAAACTTCTTCTAAAGGAAGATAAAGACAACCTTCCAATTAAAGAAAGAATAATAGGATTTCTTTTCCAGAAACATTTATTTTTTTTTAAATAGTGTTCTTTCTTATAAAGCAGCTTTTTAAGTCACATTCCCTTTACCACAGTGTCTTTGGCATTTTCTTCCTAGAACTTTCCTGTAGAGTGGTATAAAAATGTAGATTTGTACAGAAAAATAAGTATATAAACCACAAATTAATCCCCCCAAAGTATTAAATAACATACCAAAAACTTTATCAAATCTATTTCATACACTAATGGGACAAAAACCTTATTGTATATGTGCATAACAACTATATACACATTTTTAGCTTAGTAAGTTAGTGCTTCGAGGCTATCAAGGAAGTCCAAAATGCAAAAGTCCAAATGCACAATTGCAATGTTACTAGAATTTGTCACACTATTTGTGGAATTTACAATCTATACAATACAATGCATTTAAAAACCTCTGCCTGAATATGCAAACCAACTACTCTCTTTTGTGTTTTTGAATAAAGTTTGCAAATAACACAGGTTTTTATATACACAGTAAGTCACTTTCCAGATTTCATATAATTAAGAACTCAGAATAATTATAATTATTCCCTATATAAAAACACATCTACTAGTAAAAACAATGGCGTCATGCACATCAACAACTAAAATACAGTATGAAAATCCAACAGCAAAATGCCACATCCTTTCAGTTGCACTTTGCACTTCACATGTCATTCATTCCAAAGCAGCATTACTTTAGTGAGCAAGCTCTAAAATAAGATTTCTTTCTTATTTTTGTCTATGCAATGTGATACACACATAGAATATGCTCAACTATTAAACAAAGAGTCCTTGTGTTCCAACACTCCACATGAGGGGATTCCATCCAGATTCCTTTTCCCACAGAGAGTTTAGGAAATCTTACAGCTGTTTCTTGTACAGTTTTTTGGTGGGCTCTGTGGTGGACGGATAATTTTAGCTTTCTTTAAGCTGTTCCTTTTGCTGATGTTGTTGGATGTGAGGGAATACGAGCGTCCATGCATCATCCTGGCATTAAGGCCATTGGCCATGGAGAAAGATTTGAGATGGCTTCTTAAGGCAACAGGGAGAGGGAGCTTGTCAACAAGATGCACAGGGGTACAAGAAACTATGGCACGGCAACAAAGGTCTTGCAGGCTCAGTACTTAAAAACAGACAGAAAGCTTGCATTAAAATAGCGTGCTTTTGTCAGCCGCATGGTGGTAGCATACCCTGCACTCTGCCCGCACTTTCTTCTTCTAGGATGAATTCTTATTTCTCCTCCCGCACCCTTTCCCATGTGTATATTATCCAACAAAATCTGTACTTCAGCTTCCTATTTGTGTCAGGATACTTAGATGAGTCAGAATTAAGCTTTAGGAAAGATTTTTTTTTTTTTTTAATTCTCTACAAAAGCAGGAACAGGTTTATCCCTGAATATATTTTTTCTGTTTAGAAAGCAAGCTGCACAGGAGTCAGAGTTCCTTCCCTCCTCTCCCACCCCTCATGTTTTTGCATCAGAATCAACCAAGTAATACAAGTTCTGGAAATTATTGTATATTCATGAAACATGAGCCTTGGCTAGGACAAAATTTAAACATTTTCAGTACTGTAGCTGTGTTATATCCTTAGACCATCATGGTCATAATAAGTGAAGCAAAATTTATTTTACTTAAAAATAAATAAATAAATAAATAAATGAAAAGCAGCCCACACAGGCATATAGCTATCTAACCTTTTCTCAGTACTGCTAAAATCTTGGCCTCAGCCATACCTGGCAATGAGATCCCCAAGATATTTTGTCCTATGCGGAAAAAATTTCTTTGGGTTTTGAATTTGCTTTCAGTTTCATTGAACCTGCACTTCTATCCACCTTGTCTCACAATCCTAGAAAGCAGTTTTCAGTCACCTTCCCTACACCATTTTGTAGGCTCTACTCTCGCCGTGTTTCCTAAAAGCTAAAGCAAACCCTAGTCATCTTAAGTTCCTTTCACCTTGAAAAACAAACAGCACGCCATTTAACCAAAGACTAAGCTGATTAGGTTATTAGACACCTGTGTCTTATATTTTAAAATTAAGCATTTGAAAATCTGTATTTTAATATCTCCCATCCTTCAATTTTGTTTTCCAAGATTCTTAGTATATCAGTCTTAACAACACTAGCAGATAGTAGCACAGGTAATTGTGTACTGTACTTTGCTTACCCTTGTTTGGCCTCCAGAGCCTGTCCATTCCATGTCTCATCAATACTATTCTTGCAAGCTCAGTAAAGGACTCTGTAATATTGAAATTACAAAGTGGGCTGACTTCAAAAAAAGTCATGCCCAGCCTCTCAGCATAGGCTTGTGCTTGCTCAGTAGACACTTGGCGCTTGAAGGCTAAGTGAAGGCGATTTCCAACCAGGATTTTTGGTACACCAGGAGCATGCTGAGCAAAAAGAAGCAACAACAACAAGAAAAAAAAAATTAACAGTCTGGCTCCCAGTTCCACCTTCCCTCAATTAAAACAAACAAAAGCTTTTTCAAGATTTAAAGAGCGAGTGGGAGGTTGGACCAGATGATGTCTAGAGGTCCCTTCCAGCTTAAATTATTCAATGATTCTCTGATTTAAAAAAAAACATCCCTTCCTCACAGTAAAGGGACTTGCACAGACGATGTAGCAGATCTATACCAAGAGTGGGACTGCAACTTCAAATTTTTGCCCTCCATATGCTTTCTGTCAACACCTTTATAAACCAGACACTTCAGTTGATATGTTTCCAACTTTCTAGAAGTATAAACATAGAAACAAAATTGTAAGCTTGGCATCTTGGATAACTCTGTAGTAAGCAGTGCCTGAAAATGCCAGGAGAAACAGTAGAAAATACCATAAGCAGTCAGTCTTAGTCATCTGGTGTAGACTAGTGATGCTCCGAGATTGTACCTTACCTCATCTATTTCTTTTATCCATCTATCGATTCCATCAAATGACCAACGATTTGTAATGTCATACACTAGTATTACACCCTGTGTTAAAAAAATAAAACAGTTTAACAGAGGCATAACACAGTGAATACTATCTGTTAAGTTTTCTCCGATTCTGAAACAATCCTGTAAGATACTGAGCAACCTCTCAATGGAGCAGAAACTCAATATCCTGCCAAACCAACCCCTGTCTCCCAGTATAGATTACAGAACAGGAAAGGTGCAGAAGCCCCAATTTTATTTTGGGGCCTAATACATTAATAAATAGTTCTTTTTACAGTTGACAGGCTTAGCTGATTGTACACACATCACAAGTCATAGCAAATAAATATTTTTGGTCACATTCGGTAGCGCTGCACAATCCTGGGACACAACAAGAGCAACTCATCAAAAGCAACGCATGTCATGATTTAATTAATACTTTAATTTGTGACTTTTTGTATGTCTTTTTGTTTTTTTTTTTTTTTAAAGTCGCCTAATTACAAGTCATTATACTTCACTGCATTTTAGGCTAGGTTTATGTTTTTCCTATTAGTCTTGACAGCATTATGCTGTCAGTTCAGCTTACTTGGCAGACAAAATTTTAAAAAGCAGAATTAGCATATTCTGCATTTGCATGGCCAAAGCAAAACAACAAACTTAAGCTACTGAGGTAGCCAACAAGAAGGCATAAGTATACGTGTCATTGTATTTCACCATGGTTCAACTCCAATCTCATTAATTCCCTCCCCCCACCAAAGCAGAATCCTTCCCATTTTGCATCTGTTATCTTCAGAACGTTATAGAATTGGCATGCAAACCATAAGAGAGCAAGCTCTAGAAGCCCTCATGGTAGTTTGCTAACTGTGTTTTCATTCATCCAGCAACCATTACTCATCAATTACTCATCACTGAGAAAGCTGTACTTTGCTTACCTGAGCACCTCTTGAGTAAGACCGAAATATGGTGCAGAATCTCCCTTGCCCTGATGTATCCCTAAATGAAATAAATTATATATATTTTTTAAAGAAGTAGGCATCCGCCTGTGTTAGTTCAGCTTGATCAACCCATCTCTGTTCATCTATATCACTTCTTCTCTCAGTCACGCAGTAGCTGCCACTAAGGCATAAGAGCTCTTCTTGCTCGCAGCAGTTCCCACCCCCCACTGGCCTTCTGCTCTTCCCTCTACATTTTGCAGATTTCTCAACACAGGAGGACAAGAACTTCCAACTCCGCGCTTGTGATTGCCCTTGGAAAATAAAAACTGTTAGTCAAGGGTATGTTTGCCACTATACTTTGCATTTAGTTCAGCTCCAAGAGAGACACTTTTTTCACAGCAGAAAAGTGGAAGAAAACAACAGCTGTCACCAAGGAAACTAACGGAAAAACAATAAATCCTTGACTACAGCAATAAAAGTTTACCATGAGTCTCGTATGATGAAGCCATCCTTACGGCGGCATAGACAGCACAGATTTTTAGAAAACAGTGCACAAAAATCACTGCATACAATGTTTGGAAGCAAATTTATACTGAAGAGTGCGATCAGAAGCAAAGTTCCATAGACTATTTGACACAGATGACAGATCTTCAAATGCAAGGCACATATTTCCGTATATGGTCAACTGTAGAAACATTTGCAATCTGTTATTCTCAGGAGTTCAAGAAACATCCTCTCCCTTCACAAAAAGCATTAAAACATCTCCTTCCTGGCTGCTTTTCAGATAAGCTTTATGTAGTATTTTTACTAAGCTATATAAAGCAGGAGACAGAAGAAGAAAAAAAGTTGAACAAAATATCAAGTAATCAAGATACCATATGGCAAAGTACTATTATCCATCATTGCATTTTAACTTTTGAACCAATATTTTGAACATCATAAAAGCAAAAACAATCAATGAAGAATAAATTTAAAATAACTTAGCTTTGGCAACACACAGGCATTTAACTCCCGTCCTTAAAGATGTTTGAATCAGAAATGAAAGTGCGAATGAATGTTAAAGTCAAAGACTGAAACAGAAAATAC